TCTCTAAGAAAGCCCCAGAATTCCACAGAGTTGGCATCGATGGGCAGAGGAAGCATTGTGGGATAGAAAAAAATCCCTGAAGAGTATCGGGACTTAAGGGAGGTTTTTAGTGAGGAAGCGCTGGATGCGGTCATCCCCTACACATTGCAGCACTGAGATTCTGCCAGGGGTGAAGCTCCCTAAGCCTAAACTGTATTTGATGACATCACGAGAATTAGAGGAATCGTGTTTGTTTATTGATAAGAACCTTGAGTGAGGTTTCATCCAACCTGAGATTATATGTAATGTAATTGTAATTGAAGACTACGAAATGGAAGCACAAAAACAATTTGTAAACCAACCGGCACACTGTATGTACACCTATGGAAGATAGCTTGATGTTTTTATGTTTTGTTTATGTTTGTTTTCAAAAACCAATAAAATTTAATATAAAAAAAAGAAGAGACTGGACAGCCACTTGTCTGAGATTGTATAGGTTCTTCTGCTTGAGCACGGGGCTGGACTAGAAGACCTCCAAGGTCCCTTCCAGCTGTATTCTATTCTAGTGACAGAATAAGACCCTGTTTTAGCCTCCAGTCCCCTCATCATCCTAGTTGCTCTTCTCTGCACTCTTTCTAGAGTCTCAACGCCTTTATTACAGTGCGGTGACCAAAAGTGGATGCAGTATTCTAGGTGTAGTATTCTATATACCAGCGGTAGTAGTTCCTATCTACAGATCAGTATTTATATTAGAAGAACAATCGTTGGGCAGGCTGATGTCCTTCCTTCTGGGAAAAAGATTTTGGGGACCCCTCAGGATATCCTGGAAACTTGGCTAAGGGGATGATAACCAGCTGCCACGCAGCACAAAGGATGGATAAATTAGAAAACAAAATTCCTTATCAGGTTGTAACCATATCCTTTCCTTTCCTCGCTGGTGGTAGGAAGGCACATGACCTGCTTTCAGCAGCAAATTTAAATTTATTGCAATGTTTTAGTTGAAGCAGAGGAGGGCAAAAAAATGTCAGGGATTCCCCTCCTCCCCAATTCATTTTTGCAAATGGATTCACAGCCTCAGAGGTGAAGTTAAGTGAGCCGCACGATTCACTTAAGAACCGCAGTGCTTCACTTAATAACCAGGCTGTCGGAAAATCAAATGGGACAAAGTTAACAAGGCCTCGCTTTAGCAACAGAAATTCCGGTTTCCTTAAATCTGTGATTGCAGAGATCATCTGCTGTGGATAAAGGAGCTAGTTCCTCACATATGCCAATAGAGGTAAGTCCTTGAATTGCGACCGCAAGGGAGCCCAACATTGGCTGGGGGGTGGGTTGGACTAGATGACCTACAAGGTCCCTTCCAACTCTGCCAATCTGTTAAAAGTTAAACATTTCCGTTGTGAAGTGAGACATTTGTTAAGCGAGCCATTTCACGACCTTTCTTGCCACCGTTGTTAAGTAGATAGTATATAACAGATTCAGAGTTGGAAGGGACCTTGTAGGTCATCTAGTCCAACCCACAGCCCAAGCAGGAGACCCTACACCATTTCTGACAGATGGCAGTCCAGTCTCTTCTTGAAAGCTTCCAGGGATGACTCTCCCACAACTTCCGAAGGCAACTTCTGTTCCATGGGTTGATTGTTCTCACTGTCAGAAAGTTTCTCCTTATTTCCAGGTTGAATTTCTCCTTGTTCAGTTTCCATCCATTATTCCTTGTCTGGCCTAGCGAATAATTGTAGTTGTTAAGTCGGTAACCCAGGTCATTAAGTGAATCTGGCTTCCCCATCGACTTGGCTTGTGTCCCAAGGGTCCCAAAAGGGGAAAATCCTGTGACCTTGGGACACGGCAACCGCCATAAGTATGAGGCAGTCACCAAGCCTCTGCATTTTGATCCCACGAGCATGGGGTTGTAACGGTGACAAAACGGTCATAAGTCACTTTTTTCCAGTGGCCCTTGGAACTTAGAACGGTCACTAAATGAACTAAAGTTCGAACACTCCCTGTATAAGGAGGGTGGCATAAGCGCAATGCGGATGCCACCCAATTCCATGCGCAACAATGCTCAATCGCCTCCTTTTATTTTGTAGCCGATCCGAATTCCCAAACAGACACCTGTGCACAATGGCAATATATCCGGAGGTTTATTTGGTCTCGTTTCACAGGCTCGGCCCGTCCGGTGCTGGGACGGTCCTGAACACAGTTGGCTCCCCACTCCCACCCTGCTCACAGGAGTGTGTGCATGCGTGCACATATATGGAGGAGGAAGTCAGAGGGAGCCCGGCACACGTGTGAATTTCAAGTAGGGGAAAGAAGACACAGTAGAATTGCACACTCAAAGTGCTTTTGGGGGTGTGGGAATTTCCTCTGCTTTTCGCTTTGGCCTCAAGTCAAGGGCTGAGGAGGGGGCCGCTTGACGAACACCTGCCCCCACATTTGGTCCCCTGCCCGTTACCCTTGGCTGTCGTGCCCCTGTCGGAGTCTGAATCCGAGGAGGAAGCCGAGCAGCTGACAGGGAGTGGGAGTGTGGCTCCGTTGGCTGTGGAGAAAACTGGGGAAGGGCAAAGTCTGGCTGGGCACAGCAGGGGAGAGGTAGAACAAGGGAGAGGGAGTTCAGAGCCCTCTTCATCCTAGGGCATGCAGGGAGGAACGGAGAAGGGAGCAATGTGGGTTGGGTGGCTTACAGGGGAGGAAAGGGCCCTGATTTCCTTCATTAGCTGCAGCTGGGAAGAGAGTTTAAAAGAGATGCATGCTGAGTGCGGCAGCTGCTGGGAGCAAACATGAGTTTATCTTGTGTTGACTTTGGTTATCTTGTGTTCCTGGCATCCTCCCAACCGTGTTGAATTACTGCCGTTCCTTCATGTCTATGTCTGGAATTCCTTCTCCTGCCCTGCTGGACTAATGACCTCATTTTGCCTTGATTGGACTTATAGTTCCAGTTTTTGCTGACCACGTTTTGGACTGGATTCCCTGCAGTTAAAGGCTGTTCCTGGGAGAGTTTTTCTCCAGCCCAGAAGGTAACCAGGACAGTTGGAGCTTATAAAGGGACTCCTACTGATCATCTGACTGTGTTGCCTTTGTGCCACGCCTCTTTGGGTCATCACATTGCCTCTCTTGGTGTGCAAAAAGACAAACTTTGGGCAAAGGCCTCACTTGGCTGCATATTTTTTCCCGGGTGGGATGGAGGGAGGGAATAGAAAATTAACTAGGACTGTGGGGGGTGGGGGGGTCTGTGGTGATTTCCCACCCACCCACCATGAAAACAAGGAAGACCCACTGGTGTGGGAGGAAAGGGAGCCGAGGTGAGAATCCAGATAGCTGCCTGTCAGGAGGAGCAGGGATGGCAATGGGGAAAAGGGCACCACAAGGCGATCCACATTGACCGCGACAGCTTAGTGTTCATTGCATAGTGGAGATTTGGGGAGGAAATTAGCCCCTCCTCCCTTTGTGTGACTCCCCCCAGCAAAGTTTTCACCACCGAGGTTCAAGGTCTTTTTTTTTTTTAAATGTCCTTCCCTGTAGAACAGCCGTCTGTGGTCCTCGGATCTTTGGCCACGCGAAAGGCCACGGCCCCTGTCCCGTGAAGCCCGGCAGGTGTATTTCCAGAAATGGTGCGTCCCTGGTCATTTGGGGACCGGGTTTCCCCGTGGGCAGGAAGTCCCCCCCCACCAGGAGGAGGCTGGCAAGTCGTCTGGCGGAGTTGGGAGTGGTCTGGAGGTCCAGCAAACTGCGGGGTCGAGCGTCCCTGGGGCAACCCGTGTGGAGGTCCCGAGAAAAGGGTCGGCGGGCGCCGAAAAGTCCCCCCAGGCGAAAGGATCTGAAACGGGCGCCGCGAAAGGATTGGTGCTTTCAGGAGCAAGTGGTTTGAAGTGACGTGGACCCAGGGAGGGCGACTGGACTGGGGTGACCGCTGGCGAGGCCCGGGATCCCGACGAAACGAAGCTCCAGGGGTCGATCCGGCTGCGGAGAGGGGAGGGACGGGGGCGGGAAATGAGGGTTGGGTGGAGGGGGGGGGGGGGGGGACGGGGGGTGGGGGGGGGAGGAGGGAGATGGGAAAGCGCCATCTGCAGAAAGAGGGGAAGAGAAAAGCTGCAATTGATTCTAGGGAAGACATTCGGGTGCATCTAAACTGCAGATAGGTGGACTTCAACTCCCAGAATCCCCTGGCCAGGATGCTTTAAGTTGGGTGGACTTCAACTCCCAGAATCCCCCAACCATCGTGTTTTAACATGAATGGACTTTAACTCCCAGAATTCCCCAGCCAGCATGCTTTAAGATGGGTGGACTTCAGCTCCCAGAATCCCCCAGCCATCGTGTTTTAACATGGTCTTCAATTCCCAGAATCCCCCAGCCAACATGCCTTAAGATGGGTGGACTTCAACTCCCAGAATCCCCCAACCATTGTGTTTTAACATGAATGGACTTTAGCTCCCAGAATCCCCCAGCCATCATGTTTTAACATGAATGGTCTTCAACTCCCAGAATCCCCCAGCCAACATGCTTTAAGTTGGGTGGACTTCAGCTCCCAGAATCCCCCAACCATCGTGTTTTAACATGAATGGACTTTAACTCCCAGAATTCCCCAGCCATCATGTTTTAACATGAATGGTCTTCAGCTCCCAGAATCCCCCAGCCAGCCTGCTTTAAGATGGGTGGACTTCAGCTCCCAGAATCCCCCAACCATCGTGTTTTAACATGAATGGTCTTCAGCTCCCAGAATCCCCCAGCCAACATGCCTTAAGATGGCTGGACTGGTGCCACTCACCCCACTTTTGAGCCTTAGTGGCCCGGCCTTCTGCGAGTTGTGCCGCCCGGGGTGACTCTTGTGTCCAGAGAGGTGGCAAGGCTGTCCTGTCCCCCACCGAGTCCAGTTCAATGAGGAGATCAGTGGCCGCCTCATCCTTGCAGGGCTCCACCTGTAAAGCAGGAGTAGGCTCTCTTCGGGGAGATGGCTTCCTTGAAGTTGGCCCCTCCATGGGCCCCTCCGGAGAAGGGACTGGCAACTCTCGGCCCAAGCCCAGGGAAGCCAGCAAGGCCGAACCCCGGAGTAAAACTCTCTGGATGAGCCGGGGCCCGTTCAGCCTTTCCAGTGGTGGCTCCTCGGTTTCTGCAGAGTTGACGACAGGAACGTCGCCTGGAAAGAAAAAGATAAGCAGTAACTTTAAATGAAACTCCAATTTAAACCCAGGTTGGACTGGGTTTCCTCTCATCAGCCTATAGATTGGGGTCTGTTTCTTTCTCTTAAAATATTTAACCTCCCTTTACAAAAAAAAAAATTTTTTATTTGTATATTTTAAAAAATCATCTCTTTGGGTGAACGATGTGGTTCCAGGTTTTTACATTTCAATACAAACGTGACCTTAATTACATATTCATCTTTCATGTTCAATTTCATATCATATTGTTATTTTTTCCATTTTCCTTTAAATATTCTCAAGTATTCTTATATTCATTGCACCTTATTTTATCCATTTCCAGTTCATATCGTAACTTATTTCATTTTTCTTTAAATATCCTCATATCTTGTTTTACAATATTATCTAAAATTCTTGTTTCATTTCTATATTCATTATACATATTTACTTTTATCTGTCACATTTGTCACATACTGTAATTCCATTCATTATTCAGTAGATGTCATCGTAATTCTAATAAATCAAAAATTGTCCCCTTTAATTGTCAATTTGAGTTATTCGAAAATATTTAACCTCCCTTGATGGGCTTCCAGAATGAAAACAAACAAACAAACAAGGTTAGGTTAGTTAATATATTTTTTAAAAAAGGCCCAGCATAAAAGGAAAGATAAAGAGGAGGGAAGACGAAAATTAAGATGTTCTATCCTTTTCTAATTAGTGTTCTAACACTAATTTTTGGCTTGGAATAGAGCTAATTCGTGATATAATAACTACAAATGACTATTGGGACATTTTTATATGTCTGTTTAGGACAGGGGTCTTCAAACCTCATAAATCAAGGCCTACCTTATACTTCTTAAACCAAGGGTCTTCAAACTTGACAGCTTTAAGGCTTGTGGACTTCAACTCCCAGAATTCCTGAGCTAACATAACTGGAAGAGGAGGAATTCTGGGAGTTGAAGTCCACAAGTCTTAAAGCTGTCAAGTTGGAAGACCCAATAAAGTAGGGGGTCCTATTGCCATCCTCCAGGAGCCAATCCTGCTCTCCCCTCCCTCTCTTCTCACTGGCTGCTGGGAGTTGTACCCTGTTTCTCCAACAATACGGCCTCCCCCAATAGGAAGTCCCAGCATGTTTTATAGGCATGAAATGAAATTAAGCCCCTCTCCCCAAATTAAGGCCTATATTAAAACATGCGAAATGGGGGGGAATGGTGGGGGGACTTGCTGTTAGGAAGTACTTTTGTGGCACACCCGGATATGGTGCTGCCTGCATTGACCCTGATACGAAGTGCCCCACTAACGCCGAGGTCAACATCCAAGCCGTCGCCGCCCACCCGCCCGAAGATGCAAGGGGGGGGGAAGTCACCCCCGAAAAGACGGCCTAGCCATTTTTTCGGGGCTCAAAAAAAAAAAAAAAGACCCGGCCTTATATGAGAAACACGGTAGTTGCACAGGTTAACACCTGTTCAGAGATCTTCAAAATTGACAGCTTTAAGACTTGTGGACTTCCAACTCCCAGAATTCCTCCTCCTCCAGTCATGTTAGCTCAGGAATTCTGGGAGTTGAAGTCCACAAGTCTTAAATTTGCCAAGTTTGAAGACCCTTGGTTTAGGAAGTATAAGGTAGACCTCGATTTACGATGGTTGAGCCCCAAATTTCTGTTGCTAAGAGAGAGAGTTGTTAAGCGAGTCTGTCCCGTTTTATGAGCTCTCTTGCCATTGTTGTTAAGTGAATCCCTGCAGTTGTTAAATTACGAACAGCGTCGTTAAGCGAATCTTGGCTTTCCTATTCACTTGGCTAATCAGAAGGTCGCAAAAGGGGAATCAAGTGACGCTGTGACCGTGTCATAAATATGAACCCATTGCCAAGCGTCCGAATTTCGATCCCGTGACCAGGGGAGATGCTGCAATGGTCGTAAGTGTGAAAAATGGTCATCAGTCATTTTTCCCCCCCTCAGGGCTGTTTTAACTTGGAACGGTCACTAACCAAAACAATTTGTCAACTCATAAAACATTTTGTATACACGTTTTATAGTTGTCAACAGAAAGAAGTGGGGGAGAGTCTCAAAGAGCAGGCAGCAGTGTAGAATCGAAAGTACATTCCATTCATATTTTCTTCAAAGACTGATTAGATGGCTGAAGCTTCCGCCAAGAAAAAAAATCTAATTAGAGAGCATGATTTATGACTCTTGGCTATGGATGTGTTTTGTTGGAGAATATGAATTATGATACACCCAGAGGGTTGGGGGGAAAAGCAAGATCAAGGGTGACAGTGAATTACGTATCTCAGAGTCGGCTACGCCCAGGGCAATGCTGGCATGTTAACTTCTAATAAATCCTTTCAAGTTTTGGGAGTGCGGCTCGAGGCTCATGATTTAATTGGAGTAACTGCCGAAATCCTGACACAGTTGTTAAGTTGAGGACTGCCATTAATTGCAACGAAACTGATCAAAAAGAAGAGACTCACCGTTCTGGCTGGGCTGAGAATGGAGTTGTGAGGGAACAGGGGAACCGACTGGTTCTATGTACCACGTTGTTTCTTCTGGCCGCGATCTTCTCCTGCCGTGGAGAGACACAAGGACTGGGTGACAATTTTGAAACTGTGGGTCTGTGGGAGTCCCTGACTCCTCCAACAATATTTTCATTATATTCCCCATTTGATTCTGGTGCTCACTGTGAGCTGTTAACTTTTAACAGATGGACAGAATTGGAAGGGATCTTGTAGGTCATCTAGTCCAACCCCCCGGCCAAGCAGGAGACTCTATGCCATTTCTGACAGATGGAAAGTCCAGTCTCTTCATATTTGTTAAACGTGGAACAAAATCACGGAGGATTTGCTAGGATGAGAGAAATTATGTTTTATCATTGTTGGGAGAATTTCTTGGATAAAAAGCAACGTTCTGTGGGGTTGTTGATGGTCCCTGAACTTGCAGGCGTTTCATTACCCAACTAGGTAACATCATCAGTGCTAGAAGGGGAGTGGGGTTTGCTCTCGTTTTGTATACTTGTGGCTTGTCCTGTCAGTGTTGGTGGGAATATTTTTGGTGGTTCCTTCATTAGGCTATTCACTTGTTTGTTTGAGTTGGCAGTTCCTTAATTGGGGTACTGTTTATTTCTGATTAGATTAACAAAGTTGGAAGGGAACCTGTAGGTCATCTAGTCCAACCCCCTATCCAAGCAGGAGACCCTACACCGTTTCTGACAGATGGGAGTCCAGCCTCTTCTTGAAAGCCTCCAGGGATGAAGCTCCCACGACTTCCGAAGGCAACTTCTGTTCCATGGGTGGATTGTTCCCACTATCAGAAAATTCCTCCTTATTTCCAGGTTGAATCTCTCCTTGTTCAGTTTCCATTCATTATTCCTTGTCTGGCCTTCAGGGGCTTTAGAGAATAGCTTGACCCCCTTCCTCCTCTCTGGGGCAGCCCCTCAAATACTGGAAGGCTGCTCTCCTGTCTCCCCTGGTCCTTCTCTTCACTAGACTAGACAGGCCCAGTTCCTGCAACCGTTCATCGTATGTTTGAGCCTCCAGTCCCCTCATCATCCTGGTTGCTCTTCTCTGCACTCTTTCTGGAGTCTCAACATCTTTTTCACATCTCTTCTTTGTGGCAAGCCCTGAGATATTGGAAAACTGCTATCATGTCACCCATCCTTCTTTTCCTTAAACTAGGCAAGTCTTCTGTCCATCCATGGTTTGCTCAGATGACTTTTTTCCTTCCTTCCTTCCTTCCTTCCTTCCTTCCTTCCTTCCTTCCTTCCTTCCTTCCTTCCTTCTCTCCCTCCCTCCCTCCCTCCCTCCCTCCCTCCCTCCCTCC